AATTTCAGTGGTTTACTCGTTGTTTGCATTTGTAACGAAGTAGTTTGAAAAAGGCATTCCTTATTTCAACAAAACTGTATAAATCAAGAATTTCCTTATTCCGTCCTCCAGACTAAAGACAAAAATAAAATGCATTTTCGTGTAATTCAGTTCCTTGATCATTTTGTCCGTTGCTTTTAAATTGCTTGAATTCACGCATCAAGTTGAAAGGTTAATGCATAAGAAATATGATAAGAAGAAGCTTTTAAAACACTACACAAGAGCAGGTACACATGCGCATGCTGTGATTGTTATAATTTAATGTCAATCTGTGGGTGGTACTATAAAAGAAGTCCGAATAATTTTTTTCATTTATTCTTCACCAAATGTGATAGTGTAACCATCAATATAATTAACTTTTTTAAACTGGGTGTATGCACATTTATGATATATAAATAACAAATGAATTATATTGTATAGAAAAGAATGGATGAAAACAAAATGCAATATATGTATATGTGATAGCTAGTACAAAATTTGTCAAAACAAACTATGACACTATCAACATCTTTAGACTAACCCATCTTCTCCTCCCTCGAAAAAAGTCAATCAATCTACAATTAATTACAAATAAAAAAGAATTATAAAAAATTCCCTTAAAATTATAATACTTAAATCAAATTTTAGAGCATTTCCACTTCTTAAACCTATAAAGTATCAGCGGTGTTTAAGCTTTGACACTTTATTTGACAAGAAAATATCCTGTGTACGTGCTGATCAATATATAGGTCTTACGGTCAGTTTGATAAACCTTACTCTTCCTAGACTCAAGTTCCCACCTCTAGAATTTTCAAGAATCTATTTTTATGCCCCTTTTAACGGATTTTTATGTATTTATTTTTTTTTAGGTTGATACCTTTCCGTTACTTTCACATTTTCTCATCCAAAAATTGCTAATTTCGAAAATAGATTAAGAAATAATTTTAAATGAATTAACAAGTATACCCGAATTTCATGTTTTTCAGACACATTGAAAATAATTTCACCTGTGACAAGATGATATTACATTTCGGCTATTACTTAATCTTTTCATTGCCAAAACAATGGAAATGAATGATTGTTTCATATATTTTTTTTGATATTCTTAAATTTTTGAACGAAGATAATTATGACAATTTTGAATTGCTACTGTAACAGTTATCTCTCTTGATACTAGATTTTTGGGGAAAAGATACATCAAGTGAAAATGGAATAATAATTGAAACCGAAGAATTGAAATCCCAAATAAAACAAATTTCGGGGGACAAGAATAACAAATATATTTTATTCAAACCGATGTTTTGAAAAATTAAAATAAAATGAATTTTATGTTGCAAAAATAAAAGTACATATTATTTTCTGTGAGTCCCAAGAACTGAAGAGTTAAAGTTTTAAAGTAAATGCATAGGGATTGTTTTTAATTAAGTTTGTCCGTAAAAATCGAAATTCAAAATAAAGAAAATAAAAACAACTCCCAACCCACTCTCCACAGAAAAACAACAACAAAAAGCAAATACAGTAATAATGACACCCCCCCCCCAAAAAAAAACCCTTATAAATAATTGTGTATCAGATTTATCAAATTTATATATTAAACCCACAGAGATGTATATTATCCAACGAATATGCAAAAACTATACTTACTTTACATTTCTGCAATTAGAATTTTGATTTGTCTTCTAAAATATACCGAATCCAAAATTCACCATCTGAAATAATGGCGAAAAATAATGTCCAGTCTTGCATTCCACCATATTTCAAATTAAAGACTACACCTATTTCCTACAAATATACATCGACCATTGCTTCCAAACTTTTTAATTACAAGAAAACTTTACATGGCCTGGATATTGAGTATCTGAAGCATAATCCTCCATCGTGTCCATGTTCTTCTTCACAATAAACGTTAGCTACAGTTCTGCTGGACACGTTATTACAGGTGAAGTAAATAAAGTTAATAATAAGGACCTTAGAACTTACACTTATTCTAAAAGGTCGTAAATATAGGGAATCCCGATCTTGGTGTCGGAATTTCATAAATTTTATGGATTCTGTAGAAGATTACGCCAGGCGATGGGCGAGATATGAAAAAGAAGACGTTGACACTTGGGCAGGATGGATTAAAATGTACCAGATCTATGTTACATTCGCGTATTAAAAGATTGAGGGGCAATATGAAAACCATCTATCCTTCTGTATTTAATAATCCAGAAGTGAAAAAAGAATTAGATAGATTGCATGATCAGTACTTGCATGTACTGGTCCCCCGACAAAGCATGTAACAACATTGTCTTTGTTTTAAAAGTTCATTATATAAATTGTATTTTAGAAGAACGTGGATTGATTTCTACAAGTGATAATCCAATTTATACCCATTGTTCCCTTTCTAAGGAAGAAATTATTCAAAATGATGTGACAGTATTGAATATTTTTACTACCCAAACAACCAAAATGAATTTGAATTACCATATCTACGTATATTTGATTCCGAAACTTCATAAAATCCTTACAAAGAATGATACCTAGCGGGTTCCAGTAAATGTTCAACTTACTTTTTTTTACTCCTCGCTAAGATATTAACAGTAGTAAAGGAGAAACTTTATGAGTACTGTGCACTAATATATTCAAGAAGTAGTGTAAATCATATATGGATACTAAAAAATATGGATACTTAAAAATTCCATGGAACTTGTGGAAACTTTGTAATCACAAGATTTAATAAAAATCAACAGCTTTAAACTTACGACTTAGTTTAAACTTTATACACAACCATTCACCACGATAAATGAAAGTCCAGGCTTTTTGATATCATTGACAGCTGCTTTTTCAATAAAAATGGAACTGGAAAATTTAATCACCTTGTCATTGGTCATTTGCAAACGTTCATCACCTGCATACGGAGTTTTTATCTCTCAGGATAAGCAAGAGCATGCTCTACTTATGAACAATTTCTAAAGCGAGGTAAATTATTGACAAACAAGTTGATGAAATAAAAATATCAGTAGTCTCGTTCAAGGTCATCGTTTCGTAAGTTATATGGTCGATACGATGACCTTGTCAGCAAATACAATTTATCATTGAGTCAAATGCTGACTGACGTTTTTCAGAATAATTATTAGGCTATCACATGTATTTGCACACTGAATTGACGACAGATTTTCTGTCGGCAGGGGTATGCTAACTCCTCCATGTCACCTGATCCCTCCTTTGATGTTTCGGAGGTCTGTGTTTGCTCTGCTCCTATTTTGTATTCTTTAACGGACTTTTTTGCTTGAATACTGTTTGTTATCGCCATACCGTGTAAGCAGAATTTTTTGAGAGGATTTAAATTGCCGAAAATTGAATATCGCTAAAAATTAATTGTGTTTAATTAGTAAAAACGTCTTTAGTGAGCATTTTAAAATCGCTAAAATTACAGCTCGCTAAAAACAAGATACAAATTTTTAAGGACAAATCGCGAAATTTGCGTCTCGCTAGCTAAAACCTCCCCTTTTATGGTATATTTCATTCAAAATATTATTTTCCAAAAGTAAAAGTCTCAAAAGGTTTCAAAGCGTTTTTAATACTCAATAGCATGCTCTAAGTATGGTCAAATCTTGGACCGACCCACTTTGGCTATCAAAAAAAATTTTGATTACCAAAAAGCTCATTAAAAATCAGCATTTCTTTAATTCTATAGTCTTTATATTGACTCTTTTTGTCTTCAAATATTGTCATTGGGCCATATTATAGATAAAATCGCCTATGAAATATGGTGATAACGAAAGTGTTTAAACTCAAGATCCATTCAAACAATGAGATTTGGAGCAGAGCAAACACGGACCTCCAAAATCATAAGAGGTTTGATAATTTGTCATAGAGGAGTGGGCATTCTTACCGACTGGTCATACTCGCCGAGTACTCCTTGTCAAGATCGGGAAAGCGGGATAATTGCGTAGCTAGTTCACTGTGTAAATAATGACCAATAAAAACAGAAAGTATGAAGATGTCAGTCAGCATTTGACTTAATGAAAGATTGTTTTTGCTGACAAAGTCAATGAATCGACGATAAACATCCATGATTCATCAACTTGTTTGTAAATAGCTTATCCCCGTTTTTTAGTTGTTCATACGTAGAACATGCTCTTGCGTTTCGAATCAATGAGAGACATAAACTCCTCGAGCAATATCCAAAGACTGAGTTTGATGTCGCATCATCTTTTTTTTAAAATGCCGAACAAATGTATGCTTTCTACAGAAAACGTACCATTTTAGTTAGAAACTGCTGGGTGGAAACTAAGGTTTTTTGAATAACTTGTCTCTAAATGCACTTTAAAGCCAATTACGTTTTTTGCAGAAGCACCACTGTCCATTCAATCCTGTTTAAAAATCTGGTTTATCAGATGGTGTCACTTGGGCATATATTTACATTGATATAGAGAGCAAGTAAATGTTCCGTTGACAATATACTATTTTTGTTCATGAAAATAAAAAAAAATCGTTAATAAAGAGGCGTAAAAATATATACAGAATTGTTATTTTTTACTGATAAAGGTAGCCTAATTGACACTGAAAAGAAATCAAGAAATTAACAAAACACCAACTCATCCTGAAGATAATTTAGCCTATCCTGTCTTTACTATCGTTAAATGCAAATACCTATAAAATAGTTAAATGACACGGCTGATCAATACAGCAAGATGAGGATGATCTTTCAGGATACAATATTTGTCAGACTTATGGTCTGGAGATAATTCTCTCCAAAGCACCATTCGTGCAACCAGATCAGCATATTGTAAGACTTTTCTAGTGAAATACTAGACGTCATTTTCTGCGTAAATCCTTTCCGACCAGGTTAGGAGAAACTTCTTTTTCATTACACATGCAAGCATTCAAGCTGATCCTAGTTAAATTGTCTTAAATTCAAAGACTCTGTGAAGAATAATTGAAGAATTCACACTTTGGTGATAAAACATTCATTTGATTTAATAAGTGTCCTGGGCCAAAAAATTAGAACAATGCCCTTTGGAAACTTTCAAGCAGTAAAAGATAACGTATTGCAACCTGTCAAGGACAAAATCACAGATAAGACCGGCAAATTAAAAAGGTAAGTTAATTATCTTTCTGAGAAAGTGTAATTACTTTAATATAATTCAAATGTAGTTTGCGTGAGTCTGCATGCCATTGTGAAAGAAAGTCTTATCTGTACTTGATGATCTTATCTTTTCTTCTTTGTGAGCTTGCCTTGTGACATTTTATGTTTGTTCAGAAAGTCTGTTACAGCTTTTTTTCGTAATGGCACTCTAATCCCCCCCCCCCCCCCCCCCCCCCCCAGGAAAATTGACTTTATTTAAAATTGTAGCTATCAGGAGTCATATTTTAAAACTAAAAGGTATAATTTTTACGACTGATTTGATGATTAAAAATTAATAAATTCCTTCACGTGTTAATTATGTTCACGTAATCAATAATTACTAGTATTTCCATCATTTGACCATATTTTAGTCCGTTTGTTGGTTTGCTTGCTAAATGTTTATTTCAGATTTTTTTTTACTCATATTGAGACGCCACCACTTGCAAGTGGAGGGTTGCAAAATTTAAACCTCTACTCGGCACTTAATCTTTCCATTGAGCAGTGAGAGATCTTTGTCGTGTCTACTGCGATACGGGACCTCTACGAAAGCCCAGAAGGCTCATTCGAGATTCGAGTTTCCAAATACGAGATTCGAAATTCGAGATTCAAAATTCGAAATTCGAGATTCAAAATTCGAGTTTCGAGATTCAAGATCCAAACGAACCAATCAAAAGCGGGTTCAACATTTGATTATTTCCCTTTATTATGTTTTTACTATCAAGAAATAGTTCAATATAATTATATCAAATGGGTCATTTGATTAAATTACAATGCAAGAAAAAGTGTTATATATATTAGAGGGAAATTTAAATAATTAATGGAATTTTGATCAGCAAAAAATATTTTTATTTATATTATAGATTCTTAAATATTAAATAGATTTCATATACCAGGAGTATATATATTTTTGAATTGTCTACTAAATTTAATTTTTATGCATTTCCTGTGTTAGGAAAACCACAGGTACTTGTGAAAGGTACCACCCCCCCCCCTCCTCCCCCCTCGATATTCAACCCTAGGGCTTATTGGACATTTTTTTCACAAGTTTTATTTATTAAACTTATTCATCATGTATACAATAACAAAAAATTGTAAAATCCCCAGAATAATCGCTCAACAACCCCCCCCCCCCCCAAATACCCACTATACATTATAAGAGAAGGATATGCCATACCAGTCTGTTTACGTTGTACCCCCACTGGTATTAAATGCATTTATTTTGTTTTAACTTTAAATGTTGATTATCACTGTCTCTACATATACGATGTATTTCCAGGGGCGGATCCAGGAATTGAAGTTAGGGGGGCGCAAGATATAGGCAGGGGGTCTGGGGGCCGCCTTGAGGCCCCCAGTGGGTCCAGGGCAAAGCCCTGGTGGGGGCCCAGGGGGCGAAGGCCCCGGAAGCTCTTGGATTCTAGAGGTTTTGTAGGGTAAAAATGAGGTCTACCGAGTAGACATTTAAAACATTTTCTCGACAAACTGTTTTATGCTAACTTGGACAATTTTAAGGGGGCGCGCGCCGGGTGCGCCCCCCCTTAAATCTGCCACTGATTTCTGTCTTAGTCCATGCTATCGGACTGACTCTGCATCACGTAATAATCCCACATTTTTTCCGTAAACAGCTTTCTTTCTTGTAAAGTGGGGTAATAAATAGTGTTTTTTTGTTTTGTTTTTTTGGTTGAGCGATTATTCTGGGGGTTTTACGCCAGCGATTTTTTTCGTATTGTAAGGCTACACATAACAGAGAAATAAGCCCCGGGGTTCAATATCAAGGGGGGGGGGTCTTGTCCACACGTACCTGTGTTTTCTAAAAATTAAGACAAGAAACATGTATTGACGTAAGCGTCTAAAATCGGCCGCAAACCAATTAATGTTCCTTTTATGAAGCAACTAAAGACTATGGTGGTCTGTTTGTAAAATATCTTATATTTATCTTTTAATATATATCCTCGTGATATTAAAAGCTTGTGCTCTACATTGCATGATTTTCTTAATTATATAATGCATGTGCAGTATTAACCCCTGGTACTCTGCGTCAACAACTTTTGAACCGTGGGCCTGTATGGCATTTACATTAAAAGTTTAAACTAAAATTAAATGTAATCTACAACTAGATATGCAGTGTAGTTTAATTTAATAAAAATGCAGCAAATATGTTGGTATCCTTGCTCTCTCTTAGAAGAAAAAACTAAACTCCCTCTAGATCCGCCACTTCATTTCTTCTCTTTGAGTTGTAGTTGGAAAATTCTTGGCACATTGTAAAACGTGCATTATCCTCGTAAATCTTGTAATATTTTGTAGCCTGCTAAGTCTTTTAATGAATTTACATTTAACCATATTTTTCAAAATGTTTATATGTGTACATATGTACACGTCATTTTAAAATAAATACGTACAACATCCCGTTTGAATAGAGAAAGTAAAATTGTGTAATATACATAACGCGGTCTTTGATTTAGACTACGCCCAATACATGTCTTAATTTTCTCCGCACTTCAAACATATCTAAATTTCTAAGTCAGTATTGGATGAATTATGTACCTCATTGATTCTTCATAAGGATTTTTAATTTTATGTTTATTGTGCGTTTTTCTTTAACCTTAAGACCGTCTTTTTAATATATTTTTTATGTAAATTGTTTTAACTCCGCAGAAACGCACAGCGACTTCGAACTTTCATATCATATAACCGACCATCTCCTGGCGGCCGGTGTAACGTTGAATATTGACCCGAGTTGAAAATTGACCCGGGGGTCATTTTTCAACGTTGAATATTGAACCGGGGTCATTTTTCAACGTTGAATATTGAGACCAAAAGCCGTTGAATTTATACCCGGGGTCATTTTTCAACAGCTTGATATTCTTTTTCTTACACCTGATGACGTCAACAAGTTGAAAATTGACCCTGTTGAATATTGACCCCACCTCAAAATTTGAACATTTTTTTAGCTGGGAAGTTATTTTACGGGATTTATCAGTATCACTTTATTTATATTTCGGTTTCATTTTTTTTTCCCTTTTCAAGAATAATAGAAATAAACATACAGTATCACCCCGTGTATATTTGTACATTTTGAACAGTGCACGGTTTTAGTTATCTTCAAGCATGACAACTTTTATTTTTGACAATACTTTCCAAAATCCATGGCATCCATAAATAACTACAAAATAACGAATAGGGCATAAAACAAAAATCTTTAAAATCTGCAATCTAGAAAGTAACCCTATATATATTGATCAGGTGGGAAGAACATCCCATCTAGTCAAATTCAGTATAAAAATAACAAACTTTATAGCCTAAAAATTAGAATGAAACACATCGACCAAAATGATTCCAATGATAGGTTATATTTGTGAAAAGAGCAATATAGCGACCATAGCATGTAAGTAATGCTGACTTTAAATAAATTGTTGAAATCCCTGTAACAATTAACTTATTTGTCGGTAGACTGTCTCGGCTTGATCGCTTTCGGACCATAACCTTGAGAATGAGATTATTCTTATTCTAAAAAATTCTTATTCTATAGAATGTGATTCCTATTTGATTATTTTCATTCCATTATTTGTAATTTGTATTCGATAAATTGCTATTCAAATTACAGGAAATGTGACAATATGATTCATATATCATAAAATTTACATTTTTTTTTTCTCGAAAACACGCGTTTCCTATTCGATGTCATTAAAATTTAAAAGAATCGGTTGCTAGTCGCTAATTTTGTCATTCCTATTCGATAATTTTTTTTATTCGATAATTATTTAGTTTATATGCAATAAAGTTGTCGTTCGAAAACATACTAGCATCCATTTCTATTCGAAAAAATACGATTCCTATTCGATAAAATTCTCAAGTTATTACATAATTTTATCTCTATGATTTCCTATGCGATGTTTTTTTTTTCTTTTTCAATAATTACCATGATTGCATTCTGGGAAATATGACAAATTAAACTAGAATTGGTTGTAAACTCAATTAAATAGGAATGTAAAGTTTCACATTATTATCGAATATAAATCATTTTATCACACAGATTGACAAAACAAAATTTGAAAATTTTGGGAATAACGCACAAGTTTTCTCTCTTCAAGACTTAGAGACTAGGGATCAGCATAAATCAAGCTTTTGCTGTTTAATATTGAATAAATGTGTTTCGTTTTATACATTGATGGAGTAATTATACTCACCGTCAATAGAAACGCAACACCCTAATTTTAGGGTGAAAATTAAATACAGGTTATAACCATGTACAAAAAAAGTTAGGACATCTTTTACTTTGCCAAATCAGTTATTTAAAGGTCGAATGAATTTCTTTCCCTTACCGGAAGTTGTTTTTTAGCCCTCTTAACAGAATTCAAAATTTTCCATTTTTTATAAAATTTTAATAATATTTTGGGTTTCCAAGGTTTTGAAACTGTTAATCATAAGTATTGTACTAAAAGGCCGGGGAAAAATCCTTCTTTCTTTACCGGATGTGATGCCTATATTTCCTCAAAATTACTGATTTTCATTTCTAATGCTGGAAATTCTCAAAATAAAGAAAAAAGAGCTGCAGATGCTAATGTACACTATATCACGACTCATCAGGCTCATGTGTTTCAATAGCATACATGACAGTTTTTATACAGGAAGTCTAAAAGTTGCTACACTACGCCAGGTTAGAGAAAATTCGACCGCAATATCTGAAAATCATGTATTTAAAAATGCCCAAGAATATTAATTTCGCTCAGATTAAGACATTAATAAACTTAATGCATGGTAGAAATCGGCTGCATTTGTTATGTATGGTGGACTAGCACGTTTTCATTTAATGGTCGGAAGGAGGGATGTTTTAAGATTTACTGGGTATTTGTTTCTTTCTAAGGTCTAAAAATAACATTTCATGTTTAAATGGAGCATTAATTTTTTTGTAAATTTACTTTTTACCTAAATAAATTCCTTTTTTATGTTATCGTTAAATTTTAGAAGGTAACACA